GAGGTGACGAGTGCGTACTTGTGCGAATTATTGAAAATCCGGTTTTCATTAAGTAATTACTAGTATGTTTTCTTTCCTATTTATATTACTTGCACTTTAAGCTTGTTGTTTGCGTAGGAAAGCATTTCTAAGTGATTTAATTGCTTTATTTGCTCAAACTGCTTTACATGAATTCTGTGCAGCATGCTAGACTAGAATTACTTGTTTGCCTTAATATGAAATTGACATCTGTTGAATATTTTCCTGTTGTTGATGTGTATTTACATTGGGACTACGGATGTGGGATTCCGGTAGATCCCCCTTGTCTGTTTAATTGGTACTACGGATGTGGGATTCTGGTAGATCCCCTTACACAGTTATATGGAACTACGGGACTGCACCCGGTAGATTTTCCCAGTACTGGGTATTTATATTTGGGACTACGAATTGGGATTCCAGTAGATCCCCGTGCACTGATAGTTGGACTATGGGACGGGATCCTGGGAGATTCTTCGGATATATATGATAGACTACGGGATGGCATCCCGGGAGATCCACTAGATAGATGTAATTGGGACTACATGATGGTATCCTGGAAGGTACCCCGATTGTTATCTCTATGTTGAGTTGTATTTCCTTTCCGTGTTATTTTGTCTCTGTTCTAGTTGATATTGTACTTTCTATTCTATGTTATTTCTTACTGTTGCAATTAATTATATTGTCTTATTCTACACTGTTAGACTTTATATTTTATTTAACCTCAATAGGGCCCTAACCTTCCTCGTCACTACCCGACCGAGGTTAGGCTTGACACTTACTAAGTACCGCTGTGATGTACTCATGCCCTTTGTGTGCATGTTTTTCATGTGCAGATCCAGGTATTTTAACTCAGTCCTATCACCCTTGAGGCGAGGCGACTGTTCTAGAGACTTCGAGGAATGTATGCCGCGTCCGTAGACCGAGGAGTCCCTTTCTACTCTCCCTATTGTATTAGCCCTTCTATATTTTCTTTTCCTTGTTAGATATTCTGTAGTTAGACATTGGTAGACATTCCAAGGCTTATGGTTTCATGGGTTTCCGGGTTTTGGGAAAGTGTATTGGTTTTAAGAGTTAATATTGTGTACGCCGAGCGGCACTTTTAAACGCTGTTCTATTACTCTATTTTTGTTTTAAATTGTTTTCTTCCGCAGATTTAGTTTATCTTCTGCATCTTAAGCTTACCTAGTCGTAGAGACTAAGTACCGTCATGATGGTTCACGGAAGGTGAACCGGGGTTGTGACACTATTAGGTTGAGATTTAGGACTTGAAACATAGGGATATTGATAGGGAAATCAATAGAGCTAGTGAAGATACTTAAGAAAAGTTGGATCAAATATAACTTGTGTCCATGAAACCAGATGGATAGGGATTAAGGCACAAGATGTGTATGGGTTCAGGTTGTGGTACTTGGGAGGCTTGAGGAATAAAAATGGAGTAGGCATTCTAGTTAATATAGAACTTAGAAAGCATGTGGTAGAGGTTAGGAGGAGTGAACGATAGGATGATGGTGATTGAGCTAGTCATGGGAGGGCTTACTTTGAACATAATTAGTTATTACACACCTCAAGAGGGCTTAGGAGAGGAGGTTAAGAGGCATTTGGGAGGATTTTGACGAGGTTGTGAGAGGTATACTACCTGATAAGAAGCTATTCATAGAAGGAGATTTTAATGGCCACATATGGACAACTTCAGGGAGTTATAACTTTTTCATAGAGGTTTTGGTTTGGGGATAGAAATGAAGGAGGAATCTCGCTTTTGGATTTTACGAAAACTTTTGAGTTGGTGGTAGCTAATTTGAGTTTTTCGAAGGAGGATCACCTGCTAACCTTCCGTAGTTCGGTGGCTAGGACTCAGATAGACTCTTACTCCTTATGGAGGATGATATAGTTCTTTGTAATGATTGTAAGGTTATTCCAAGTAAGAATCTAACTACCCAACATAAGCTCTTGGTAATGGATTTGGATATTAAGAGGAAGAGACATAAGAGGGTTTTCTACATCAGGACAAGGATAAAATGGGGTGGCTTAAACACTCCAGAGCTCAGGATTTGAGGGACAAGTTTATGGTGATAGGGGCTTGGAGTAGTAGTGGGAATGCAAATAATATGTAGGATATGACAGCTACTTTCATTAGAGAAGCAGCTAGAGAGATGTTGGGGGTCTCGAGGGGTAACATAGGTGATCACTAAGGTGGAACGCAAAGATCCAAGGGAAAGTGGAAGCAGAGAAGCTCTCTTAAATAAAGTTGATGGAGAGAAAATACGAGGAGGATAAGCGGACACATAGGGAAATGTATAAGTCGGAAAAAAGAAGGCGAAGTTAGTGGTTATTGTGGCAAAAATGACAGTGTTTGAACGCTTATATGATGAACTTAGGGACAAATGCGGGGATAAAAAGTTATACAGGCTAGACAAGGCGAGGGAGAGGAATGCCGGAGATCTGGATCAAGTGAAGTGTATCAAAGATGAAGATGATAAAGTATTGATGGAAGAGGCACGTATTAGAAGTAGATGGCAGACATACTTCTATAGACACTTGAATGAGGAAAGGGACATGGACATTGTGCTAGGCTATTGGATCACTTCGAAAGTCATCGATATTGTAAGTATTGTAGGCAAGCAAAGGTTGAAGAGGTTTAAGGGGCGATGCATAACATGAGTAGAGGTAGCGTGCCCAGGCCAGACGAGATTCCTGTAGAATTTTGAAAGAGCTCGGGAAGGGTAGGTATGGAGTGACTCTCTGTGTTGTTTAATATTATTTTTAGGATGACGAAGATACCCGAGTAACGAAGGTAGAGTATAATAATTCCATTGTACAAGAACATGAGTGAGTTCTGAAATTATAATAACTATAAGGGTATCAATCTACTAAGCCACACTATGAGAGTTTGGGAGAGGGTGGTGGAGATGAGAGTGAGAAGGGGTGTGTCAATTTCTGAGAATCACTTTAGTTTCATGCTAGGACGTTCGACTATCAATGCCATCCACCTTGTTCGGAGATTGTTGGAACAGTATAGGGAGAGAGGAAGATGAACTTACATATGATGTTCATCGACCTAGAAAAAGCTTATGACAAAGTCTCAACAGAGATTCTTTACAGATATTTTGAGACCAGAGGTGTACATGTCGCATACTCTAGGGCAATCAAGAATAAGTACGATGGAGCCAAGACACGTGAGGATAGTGGGAAGAGACTCCGACCACTTTCCAGTCATGATGGAGTTGCACCAGGGGTCATCTCTCAGCTCGTTCTTATTTTTCTTGGTGATAGATGAGTTGACGTAGCATATTCAAGATGAGGTACCTTGGTGCATATTACTTGCAGATGACATACTAGGAGATATATAATTAAGAATAAAGATATTTGGGACAAAGGTCAGAGTGGTTCCAGTGGTGGACAAGATGTGAAAAGCGCGGTTAGATAGTTTAGGCTTGTGAAGATGAGATGCACGGATGCGCTAGTGGGGAGGTGTGAGAGGTTGGCTATGGTAGGGCCAAGAAGAGGTAGAGGTAGGCGAAGAAGTATTGTAGGACACGTCACATCTTTAGCTAGTCAAGGACATGACCCTTGATAAGAAGGTGTGGAGATCGAAGTTTAGGGTAGTAGGTTTGAAAAAAGTCGAACATAATTCTTTTTCTTACATGTGTTACTTTTCTATACCTGTATACTAGTGTATTCTTGTATTCCCTATGCATAAATTTCAGACACGTATTGCTTTTTCTTCGGTTTCCTTTTTTTGACTGTGATTATTGTTTATCTTTACATGGATTCTTCTTGTCGTATTTTCTTATCTTAACTGCAGTGATTATGCGTTTCTTTAGTCTAGGATCTATAAGAAATAATCATTTTACCTTCACAACATAGGAGTAAGGTTTGCATATACATTACCCTCCACAGACTCATCTTGTAAGATTTTACTAGGTATGTTGATGTATTTAAAAAGAATCAACATTCATTAATCATGATCTTTTTATTACTTATTATTTTAGACGCAAACACCTTGCATAATAATATTTATGTGATTATTTTAAAATTGATACTTAGTGATACAATCAGATACAAACTACATGCGTAAGTGCGTACCTAGAGATTAGTTATTAATATATATATATATATCTACATAGGCATCCCCTTGAGTAGTATTAGCTAAAAAAGTAATTTTATCTTAAAGGTATTTCACGTGTTGAAAATGAATAGGACACATACGTACATACATAAATAAATAAATATTTTTTTACTAATGATATAGATCGAGCCTTAGTTGAGATGTTTAAATAAAAAAAACTTAACAAGTATAGGAGGCTCTGTATACGAATTCCGCCAATAACTATATATATATTTCTCGTTTTTTGTTTTTTTGTATATTTTAAATAATAGAATTGTAATTTTTAGTATTTTGTGTATTCTCTAAATATGTAAAGCAATTTAGTCAAAGTTTTAAGACCGGTCAAAATTTAAATGAAGACTATTGTTTAAAATATTTGCTCACGCGGAAATCAATTTACATTCTAAAAAGCATCTAAGTTTTTACTTTAAACTAATAATAATATGTATTCTTATAAATTTTTATTATTGTTTATGAATTAATTAATTAATTAATTAGTAAGTACTTTTTAGTGTAACCATATACATTAAGGACACTTTAAGGGTCGTTTGGTATGAGGTATAAAAAAAGTATAAGAGTGGTATAAAAATTAAATACCACCTTAATATTCTATTTGGTTAATAAATCAGGTATAAGTTACCGGTATTAATTTTAACACTGGATAACTTATACCTTATAGAAGGTGGGGTAATTAGCACCAGTATAACTTATATTTTATTCTTAGAAATTATGCAATTATCATTCTTAATACAATATACCAAACAATAAATAAACAACAATCGCAGCATAATTTATCCCGATATAACTTATACCAGGATAACATATACATATATATATCATATTCCAACCAAAGAACCCCTAAGGCAAACACGGAGTGCGGTCAAGTGTTTTCCCTCACTCGGCAAAGCCCTATATAAGTTCATTTTACTGTCACGTCATGCGCGTTGCTCACTCCCATTGCCCGTTTCCTCCGCCTGGAGTCTCCGACGATCCCTGCTCACCGCCGGCGATCAACTGCAACAACGGTGAATGTCGATAAACGACGAGAAAGTGAAGGTACTATTCCTTTTCTTTATCTCGCTCCGGATTCATCTCCTGACTCCTGCTCGTCGAGTCAAATATCTTTTTCACTACTGTTTCTCTTGCTGACACTCATTCTCTCATAGATACTCGGCTAAGGCTTAAAAACTCAGAGAAACACTTAATTATACTAATAGACAGTGGAAATGATGTCATGCATGTATATGTTTCTCCGTTGAATTTCGATGCTTTTTTAGTTACTTCCTTGAGAACATTTGGGCGAAATTAAAGGACCCTCCAACTCTTGAATTAAAAAAGAGCTACGCTTCAATTCAAAACTAGTAGGCATCAGCTATACGAATCCTTGATATCCATTTCTTTCCATTTGGACCAGTTATATTTTAAATAAAGAATTAACCCAAATTGTAGTCAAAGATAAAATTGTGTGTGTACTGACAGTAAATAAAGTGCCATTCTTTTTGGCACAGAGGGACTGTTAAGTTTCAAAAAGTACTTGACTGTTGATGCACAAGATGGTTGCATTTGTTAGATTTTTAGTAGTAAGAGAGCAAGATAAAGGTGATAAAAAAGAGAAGCTTCCTCAAACATAGTGTTAACAACTGCATTCCAGAGAACAGCTTTAATTTGCTGCTTCTTGTAGTCAGGATCCGAGGACGTGAAGGGTTCAAAATTAGGTCCTCATATTTTATTGAGCTGTTTCTTTTTCTGGTTAATGCCGGGTACCGGCATAAGATGGGACTGGAATTCCAAGATTTTGCGCTGGAAAAGTTTTGGCCAATTTATACTCTAGGACTCTTTAATAGATACTTCAGAATACTGTTTATTCCTACCTCGAGTATTTCCTTTTTATTCTTTTTATTCTTTCTAGTAAACTGGTAGTACTTGGTCTAATATTTTATGGTACAAAATAAGAGTGTGGCGGTTGGGGGGTGATCATCACTTGGCTTCTTGAATAGATGACGCAATGGTGGTGGTTGGCTTTAGCTTACTTGCTGTGGATGTTACAAGGTGAGACTTGGTGGTTGAATGTTGGTCTGTCGGTATAACGTTGCATGCCAAATGACTTCGTAAAATCTCAGGATCCTGGGACTATTTTTTATTTTTTTAAAATCATTTATTTTCTCGTACTGTTTAAAACAGTTGAGACCATAATGATGAATAGCCAGTTTTTACAATGGCAGTGCCTTTTTATCCTCCCTATTGCAATTACATACCTACAATCTGAAAGGACTTAGCTTTCAGGACTAAGCTAATTATGCTTGAGCTTGACATCAAATATGTAAACTAGTCAGCAAAGTAAAACAAGTTTCTTTTCAGTTTCCTAACTTTTGATCAAGTGGTCTGAAATTCCTAAAATGTGGAATCTTTACATCTACAGCCTCAGACTAGATTCTCCTTTTCCTATAGCATATGAGCTGCGTAAACTTTTGATTTGCCCTTGTAGAATATATAATCTGCATATCAACCTCTATCATCAGGAGGTAACTCCAGTCGTCTTCAATTTAAAATGGAAAAAAAGTATGAAAGTTTGCTACAATTTACAATTTATTAGTTGCTTCAACACTTCGTGTGGTAGGTACTCTGGGAGCTACTGATTACATCATTTTGTAGTTTTTCCTGGATAAGCACATTTGATCGCAGTTTTTTTTGTCAGTTGCCAATCAATGCTAATCCTATAGTTGTGCATGAGCCGAGGTTCAATCAAGGAGGTCAGGCTGATTACTACTCTTTTGCGAGGGACACAATACAAAATGGAACGGCTGAGGCAACTATCTACAACTCCAAGGTTGTTAACATTATGCATGAAATTTCACAAGTTGTATTATTTTATCTTGCAGGAAATGTAATATGTAAAATTAGTGAGTGCCTGTGATTAATGGATACCCGTTTACAGCTGTTACTTGAGATTTACCACATTTTTTAATATTGTGCAAAACCAATCAGTACCAGCTATATACTGCAGAAACTTGAGGATGTTGTGCATGAAATGGGTCTAAAAATTAAACAACACGAAGAGAATATCAAATTCCTGAAGACTCAAAAGAATGGGTTGGATAATTCGATCTTAGATATGCAAGGTACCTTCCTTTTACTTAAGTTTAGCTAGTAATTAGATATGGATGGTCATTCTAGTTATTTTTGTTGAATCAGTGGGTGTCCCTTAATCAATGCATTTACCCTTTGTATTTATGCAAGCTAAGTTTAACATGAGAAAACTACAATATCAAGATCTCTGTTTCACATTTCCTGTTTGTGGGTACTGTAGTCGCTCTTGGCAAGTACCAGACAGAGAGTGAATCTGGTCCTGAAAATGAGGAACTTTCCCATGTATTGAGTGAGCAGGAGACAATTGAACAAATCTTAAGATATGAGAAATCTGCAGCTGGCATCTGGTGCCAACTAAAAACTCGTCATGGAACTCAAGCTTCTCATCTTCCTTTGACGAAGGATGTTCTGGGAATTGTTGCTATGCTTGGGAAAGTTGATGACGACAATCTTAGCAGGTTAATTTTATTTCAATTAATGTATTTGCTTGCCTTTTCTGCTATAATTTAGCTACATCGCAGTTTTTCCCAGTTTTCTTCAGCCATATCCTAAAAATTGTAGCACCTATTCTTTCTATCACAATCAGGATGACGACATGTTGCTAGCTGATATTCAAATTGACTAGAGATATACTTAATACAATTGTGTGCAGAAGTCGGATGGGTTGTAGAAAGGTTTTTACTTCAACAAGCAAGATAATATATTGTGGTGTTCTATGTTAGTTTCATCTCTTAAATATTGAAATTTGCATCCCATAATGTTTGTTCATCTTCCTCATCTTCTTGCTCCTGCATTACTAATGGTGAAAAGACATTCCCATTCCTAACTAATCAAAAACCAATATGATTCAATGTGTTGAAGGTGCTAGTGTTTGTGGGATTTGAGTGTTGAGTAACTTCTTTTGTTCCTCATATTTTCTCTTATTATCGAGTCTTTTCCTTCAGTAATTTCTGGAGAGATTATGAGGTCAAGAATGGATTGGAATGAGATAATGGAAGAAATTGTCCTTAGATATTTAGTGCATTTATTCTAGGCCACTGCAGTTCTCAACTCTTTGTCATGAGCGGATTCACATTTACTTTTAGATGTAAAATGTGTTTGTGCATACCAAACTTGTCACTGTGTTTCTTCATATCTCTATAGTCTCAAAGAACATACAAAAACATGAATTTCTTTCTGTTTGAAAACATGAATTTCTTTCTGTTTGAACTAGTTGTGATGATATGAGAAGTTAAGAAGCATGCAATTTCAAGTAGGGCAAATAATGGCAGCTTGTTCTGTATTATGGCTGACATGTATATTTGATCTCTGAAATCCAGGCTTCTCTCAGATTATTTGGGACTTGAGACTATGCTAGCAATCGTGTGCAAGACATATGATGGTATCAAAGCACTGGAAACATACGATAAGGAAGGCTATATAAACAAGACTTCTGGTTTTCATGGACTTGGATCTTCTATTGGGAGGTCTTTGGATGGCCGATTTCTTGTTATCTGTGTTGAAAACTTAAGGTTTGAGATCAAGATTATGTTTCATGAAAAAACTGATGCACCTCTTTTGACATACCTTTGATCCCTTTCCTTCTTTTGGTTCAATTTTAGACCATATGGCGGTGAGTTCATAGCTGACGACCCTCAAAGGAGGCTTGATATTTTGAAGCCAAGATTACCCAATGGGGAATCTCCACCTGGTTTTCTTGGTTTTGCTGTGAATATGGTCAGTATAGACAGTGTGAACTTATATTGTGCTACAAGCAGTGGTTACGGTCTAAGAGAGACTCTCTTCTATAACCTGTTTTCACGCTTGCACGTATATAGAACAAGAGCAGATATGTTACAGGCTCTCCCTTGTATTAGAGATGGAGCCATATCTTTGGATGGAGGAATAATAAAGCATAACAATGTGTTTGTCCTGGGCAAGAGGTAAAGAAGCTTGTTTTAAATAGTTATATCTCTGTATTTCAGAAACTACAGAAAACAATTTATTTCTATTTTCTGAAGCTGGTGCTGTTTCTGTTTATGCTTATGTGCGTGTAGCTTCAACTTCCTGAGTTCAGCTGTACAGCTTCTATGAACTTCCTCTTACAATCTGTCTCCTGTGGTCCCGAAAATATGTTCGTCAGTCATTTAATGCATAAACAGCAAGGAAGCTACAAAACTGTCTTTATCGATTTGTTTGTCTATTGTATTTTTATTTCATAATGATATGCCCACCATTTATCAGTGAATTCTTCATCCAAAGATAAAAAAGAGACCGCAGTATATAATATAATTTAATCAAGAAAGGTAACCCTATGGTAAGATATATGAATTTGAGCGACTTACATTACAACTCTAGAATATCCTTTTGTGAAAGAAAGACTAGTTCATGAGATTTTCAGGGACTGGACATGACATTAAATTCACAATCTTTTCTGTCAATTATCTTCTCTTGGGCTCTCTTTGGCAGAATGTATTTCCTCTTAGATTTATACCAGGAATAGCATAACTAAGTCATCATGAAATTATATATTCTGAATCTGAGTTGGGTTTATGTCTTTCTTTTGTATTCTTTGGTAAAAGGGAAGTAGATTTGAAATTTCCAAAGAGCTTTGCAAAGTCAAATTTGCCGCAGGACTACTTTGAAATCGAAAGACAGATAAAGGAGATGAAGTGGAAAAAGGAAAGAACTGTAGAAGATATGCAGAGAGAACAAGCATTGCTAGATCATGCAAGGTTCAACTTTGGTATAAAGAAGGAAGAGTATTTGAAGTTTCTTGCACAAAACTCATCTTACACAAGACAGGTAATGACAAAGAGTAGCTTACTCGGCTAGCAATATGCTGGTCATTGATTAATTCTGAACAGTTTGTGTTGCTGATAGTAAGCAGATAATGAAGTCAGTTATCTCTGAGTTGGTTCTGGTAAAAATCGTGGACATTTTTAACTTGATCATCATTGTCCATGAAGGATCCAGCTTTAGTTGATTGAAAGTAACTTTTGATAATTGCGAACACTCAGGAGCATTTTGTTGATTGTGTTGGAACAACTAATCCCACCATTAATCTTACACAAAATGATATAGTGTTTGGTTGGTCGCATAAGAAAAAATAATTGCTGTACAACTAAAGCAGTGTTTGGTTGACGGAACTAAATAAGTACTAGCATTAAGTTATATGGGAATGTATGCATTATTTTATACAGCATGGAATGTGGAATAAGAATACGTGTTCTGGAAATGTGGAGATTAAACTATTTAAAGACAAAAATGCAATCTCTTCATTGTTAATTACCACATAAACAGTCTCTGCGTTATAATTTTCACATAACTAATATGAGAACCAAACGATCCCTTAATGTAATTATTCCTAGCTGAGACTTCTGCATGGAGAGAACATGAGTGGTGTTTCTTTTTTTCCTGGAAACTTCTTAGTGTGCACCTTCTTTCAATATGGCAGTTATGATTATTTTGTTTACGCAATCTAAAGATCTAGAAATCGGGAATGCTAAAATGCTGGTGGATTTTGACTTTGATGTTTTCACGGGAAATCAGCAAAATGGTTTTTGGTTGTATGAAGCAAAGATGTCTCTCACGTAGTCTTTGCTGATACCAGTTCTGTTGTTTGCTTTTAATTTTAAAAACTCTACTCCATTTTACACTGAGCATGTGATATTTATGAATTGTCCTATATACCATCTAAAGTCTCAGCTCTTGAAGTATTTGTAGAGTATTCTAGCACTTTCGAAGACAGCTGTTTATATTAAAGCTCTTCAAGAAAATGCAGTAAGCTCTGTTTCAAGTTTGTAGGGAATTGTTTTTTTTTTGAGAAATGGTAATTATATTGCATATGCAGGCAAGAATAATGCTGAGATATGTACAGGTGAACAAAAAACCAAAATAAGATCCCTTTCTAATCTTGTAGGGATTCTTAGAGGCTAATCAATGATTTTGCTTCATTTACAAGCTCCTCTTTACACCAGAAGGAAAACAAAAAAGTACAACAACAACAACAACAACCCAGTGTAATCCCACAAGTGGGGTCTGGGGAGGGTAATATGTACGCAGACCTTACCTCTACCCCGAGGGGCAGAGAGGCTGTTTCCAGGAGACCCTCGGCTCAAAGAGGCAACAAGAGACACTATATTAGTACTATCAATAGACTCATAATAAAACAACATAAAGTACCATAAAATCCATAACATAACATAAATACCATAAAAACAAAGTAACAACAATATAAGAGATATAGGAAATACGAGAAAGATGTAAGGTATTAATACACAGGAGATAAAGCCCATCATCAGTAGTTGATCAATAGCATCCTAAGACTACTTCCTAACTGGCTAGTCTCACTCTAGTGCGCTGTAACAAAGACATCACAATTTCCCTAACCTACCACCTTAATGCTCGATCTCCACAATTCCCTGTTTAGGGCCGTGTCCTCAGTAACCCTAAGTCGCGTCATATCCTGCCTGATCACCTCTCCCCAATACTTCTTAGGTCTCCCTCTACCTCTCCTCGTACCCACCACCGCCAGTCGTTCACACCTTCTCACCGGTGCATCAGTGTTCCTCCTCTGAATGTGCCCGAACCATCTGAGTCTTGCTTCCCGCATCTTGTCCTCCATGGGGGCCACACCCACCTTATCTCGAATATTTTCATTTCTAATCTTATCCTTCCTTTTATGCCCGCACATCCACCTCAACATCCTCATCTCTGCAACTTTCATCCTTTGGATGTGTGAGA